GGATTGGGAATGGAGTAGCTGGGACTCGAAACGGCGCCCATATGGGATGCTGGCGCTTCAGGCCAGGGTGTTAACCTGCTGCCCCACAGTGCTGGCCCCTTAAGTAGTGTTTTGATATTTCCATGTACAGGGATCTTATTATATTTTATGAGTATTTCACAATTCTTGAAACTGTTATAATTGTGTATTTGAATTTTTGATCATTACTGCTTTGTAGAAATGTAGTTCACTTTGGTGTATTGATTTATATTCTGCAACTCAGCTAAATTCATTTACATTAATTCTGAATTTGATAAAGTTGATCTGCCTTATTTAGCTTGGTGCATTTTTTTTTTTAAGATTTTATTTATTTGAAAAAGTTAGAGAGGTAGAAACAGAGAGAGAGAGAGAGGGGTCTTCCATCCACTGGTTCACTCCCCAGATGGCCGCAGCGGCCGGAGCTGCACCCATCCGAAGCCAGGAGCCAGGAACTTTTTCCGGTCTCCCACGTGGGTGCAAGGGCCCAAGGGATTGGGCCATCTTCTACTGCTTTCCCAGGCCAGAGAAGAGAGCTGGATCTGAAGAGGAGCAGCCAGGACTAGAGCAGGCGCCCATATGGGATTGCTGGCGCTTCAGACCAGGGCTTTAACCCACTGTGCCACAGCTCCCCCCCCCCCCCCCATGTTCTTTTCCAATCCTTTCCTTTTCCTTCCTTCCTTCCTTTTTTCCTTTCCTTTCCTTTCCTTTCCTTTCCTTTCCTTTCCTTTCCTTTCCCCTTTCCTTTCCCCTTTGGTTTGGTTTGTTTTGTTTTGTTTTTTACAGGCAGAGTTAGTGAGAGAGAGAGACAGAGAGAAAGGTCTTCCTTTGCCGTTGGTTCACCCTCCAATGGCCGCCGCGCTACGACCGGCGCACCGCGCTGATCCAATGGCAGGAGCCAGGGACTTATCCTGGTCTCCCATGGGGTGCAGGGCCCAAGCACTTGGGCCATCCTCTACTGCCTTCCCAGGCCATAGCAGAGAGCTGGCCTGGAAGAGGGGCAACCGGGACAGAATCCAGCGCCCCGACCAGGACTAGAACCCAGTGTGCCGGCGCCACAAGGCGGAGGATTAGCCTATTGAGCCATGGCGCCGGCCCCTTTCTTTTCTTTTTTTAAAGATTGATTTATTTGAAAGTCAGAGTTACACAGAGAGAGGAGAGAGAGAGGTCTTCCATCCACTGTTCCACTCCCCAATTGGCTACAACGGCTGGAGCTGCGCCAAATCCAAAGCCAGAGACAGGAGCTTCTTCCGGGTCTCCCATATGGGTTCAGGGACCCAAGAACTTGAGCCATAGTCTGCTATCTCAGGCCATAGCAGAGAGCTGGATCGAAGTGGAGCAGCTGGGACTTGAACCAGTGCCCATGTGGGATGCTGGCACTGCAGGCGGTGACATTACCCGCTATGCCACAGTCCTGGCCCCTCACATAAATAATCTTAAATAAATTAATAAAACGCACCCTGAATATCCCATTCCGCTTGACTAATTTATCATCTTCTAACATTCTTTTCATTTTACTCATTTATTATTTCCCTACCCATGCTATAAAGTACATTCCAAACAGGACAGGAATTTTGTGTTTCATTTGTCGGTGGATTTTCATTGCTTGGAACATAATCAGCCATGTGGTAGATGTATGATAAATATTTGTTGAATGAATGAGTAGGATAGTAAGCAGGGTAGACAAGTGGTCCTTGGACTTGTAAAGTTTAGTTTATGGTTTGCTTTCCTTTGAAGGATATTATCCATATTTTCTGCATTTTTGATATGTACAGTTAAAAATCTTTTTGAAATAGTAGATGTTTAAACCTCAGGAAGCAATATTTCTTAAAAAGAATGATATTTTGAGGTGTATTTTTATTTCTGTTAGTTATTTCAAAGGCAAATAGCAGAGAACGCCATCCACTGGTTCACTCTAGAAATGTCCTCAGTGGCCAGGGTGGAACCAGGAGCTCAGTCCAGGTCTTTCATATGGGTGGCAGGGACCCAACCACTTGAATCATTAACCAGCCCTTTCCCAGAATGCTTGTTAGGTAGTAGGAAGCTAGAATTGGAAGTGAAGCCAGGACTTAAAATCAGGCACTCTGGTATGGTACGAGATGAAGACTTTTTTTTTTTTCTTCCGGACAGGTAGAGTGGACAGTGAGAGAGAGAGAGAAGTGGCCGCTGCAGCCGGCGCACTGCACTGATCCGAAGCCAGGAGCCAGGTGCTTCTCTTGGTCTCCCATGCAGGTGCAGGGCCCAAGGGCTTGGGCCATCCTCCACTGCACTCCTGGGCCACAACAGAGAGCTGGCCTGGAAGAGGAGCAACCAGGATAGAATCCGGCGCCTCGACCGGCACTAGAACCCGGTGTGCCGGCGCCGCAGGTGGAGGATTAGCCTATTGAGCCACGGCACCGGCCAAGATGAAGGCATTTTAATCTGATGTCATAACTAGTAGGCTAAACACTCACCTCTCAAGTGTATTTTGAATGAGCTGAAACCTTTAGAACATTAAAGTAGAAAAGCCATGTGCCAGAAAAGGTGGTAACTTGATCAATTTTAGAGCAATACTAGGAGGTTATTTTGGATCTTAATTTCTTTGGCTCATTAGTGGGATTTATAAGTGAAATTATTTTAGTTCTCATTAGGACAGCTTATCTTTTTTAACAATCTCCCATAAAAATGAATTTTTAAACTCAGAAATCTGTGGAAGAACATCAAATATGGAAGACTTTTGAATAAATATCTAGTGTTGAAGCAAACGTAAATAGTAGATATCATATTGATGCCAACTGAGGAAATGTGAGATTAGACTTAGTCAATAAATAAATCTGTTATCATAATCTGCCTTGTGCCAATTTAAATAATGAAAACATTACTGTAGGAGGATGTTTTGTTAAGTGTCCACAAGGCCTGTATCTTTGTGCAAGCCAACCATGTGGTAGACACTTAACAATAATTGTTTCATAATGATACTGAATTTTAATTGCTTATCTGAGGGAGAAGTTACTTGTATGAGTATGCAAACTCCTGACATGCCTTATCTACTGATAGTTGGCACTTTTTCTTTTCCCTGAAGATTTGCAGTGAGTTTATAATAGAATAAACATTTTTGTCATTTTTAAAACAAATTAATTATTTTCATTTTATTTGAAAGGCAGAGTGACACAGATACAGAGAGATCTTCCATTCACAGTTCACTGCCCAAATGCCTATTACGAAACAGGCTGGGTTAAGTTGAAACTCATTACAGTCGCCCATGTAGGTGGCAGGCACTGAAGTACTTGAGCTGTTACCTGCTGCCTCCCAGGGTGTGCATTAGCAGGATTCAGGATGCCAGCTGAGGGGCCTGCGCTTGAACTAGGTACTCCCATATGGGATGCTGGCTCCCCAAGTGGTGTCTCAACCCCTGTGCCAAATGCCCTTCTTTATGATGTTTTTTTCCTCCTTTGATAGTTTTTATAAAGGGTGACTGGTGAGGGTTATAAAATTGGTTCACTCCCAATTGCAACAGCTAGGGCTGGGCCATACTGAAGCCAGGAGCCTAGAACTCAATCCCAGGTTCCCACATGGATGTCAAGAAGGAAAGTAGTTGAACCATCACCTCCTGCCTCCCAGAGTGTGCATTGGCAGGAAACAAACATCAGAGTCAGAATTGGAACTTGAACCCAGGCAGGTCTTTCTGGGATATGGGTATTCCCACTGACATTTTAATTGTGCCATACACATACCCCCATTGAAGTTTTTGTTGTTAATGCTCAAATTATCTCAACTTCATCAGAAGATGGCCCAAGTCCTTGGAAGTAGAGTGGAAACTCTCAAGTATTTTGGATACAATCCTAGGAGTCTTTGATAGCCTCATTGCTCTTTGATAAAAGGCCTGTACATTTCCTGCTCCATATCTGGGATCCAGGTTTGGTTTTTTTTTTTGTTTTGTTTTTTGTTTTTTTGTTTTTTGTTTTTTTTTTTTTTTAAAGACCCTTGCTTGCGTTTATTGGGAAATGGTATTTAACACACATTATCTGGATACTAGAATTGAAGGAACCAGCTTTTTTTTTTTTATCTTTGTAATTAATAATCATTATCTCACAGTTTCTGTGTGACATAATCCCAAGTGGCTGTGTCTGCAGTCAGGACGACTTATTTACGACATACTAGATGGCTTCCTTCTGAGTGAATGGTCCATGGCAACCAGCAGTAGGATTCATTTTCCTACTTGAAAATTGAGTATAGTGCTCTGGTTGTGGATCCAGGCTATCTGGTGCTGACACTTGATAGCCCTATTTCCCATAGTTGTAACATACAGATGCTAACACCTAGCTTATAGGCCCTGTAATACATGATCTTTGTGATGGTTCAAGGAAATCAGAATAGTTTTGACATTTACCGGATACCCATGTAGAATTCAACCTGCTATGCTCTTATTACTATTGCTACCACCGCCAGTGGATTGAACTGAAGTCCTGAAACAGATTGATCAAATTGCCCTAGACATAATTTTTCCTTCTGTATCCCACGTATGTGAGTTATAAACTGTTTGATTATATATATGGGGAATCTTTTCATAGATTTTATAATAAAATGTGACCTAAGAAGAATGTGGACATCCCTAGCAGTGTCTTTTTTTTTCTTTAAAAGAATTATTTTATTTATTTGAAAGAATTACAGAGAGAGGTAGAGCCAGAGAGAGAGAGAGAGAGAGAGAGAGAGAAAGGTCTTCCATTCCATCAGTTCGCTCTCCGGATGACCACAATGGCCAGAACTGAGCTGAAATACAGGAGCTAGGAGTTTCTTCTGAGTCTTCAACACGGGCACAGGGGCCCTAGGACTTGGGCCATTTTCTTTTCTTTTTCTTTTTCCTTTTTTTTATTTTTTTGACAGGCAGAGTGGACAGTGAGAGAGAGACAGAGAGAAAGGTCTTCCTTTTGACGTTGGTTCACCCTCCAGTGGCCGCCGAGGCCGGCGTGCTGCGGCCGGCTCACTGCGCTGATCTGAAGGCAGGAGCCAGGTGCTTCTCCTGGTCTCCCATGGGGTGCAGGGCCCAAGCACTTGGGCCATCCTCCACTGCACTCCCAGGCCATAGCAGAGAGCTGGCCTGGAAGAGGGGCAACCGGGACAGAATCCGGTGCCCCGACCGGGACTAGAACCCGGTGTGCCGGCGCCACTAGGTGGAGGATTAGCCTGTTGAGCTGGGGCGCCGGCCGACTTGGGCCATTTTCTACTGCTTTCCCAGGCCATAGCAGAGAACTAGATTGGAAGTGGAGCAGCTGGGACTCAAACTGGCGCCTATATGGGATGCCGGTGCTGCAACCTGGGTCTTTAACCCACTGTGCCACAGCCAAATGCTCCCCATCCCCAACTCATTTTAAAATATGCTTTCACAGAAAATTGAAACAAAAAATGCACAGAGAGGTCTGGTTGCTTCTTCACCTAGTTTACCCTAGTGGTAACATTTTGTATAACTGTAGTGTAGTATCACTTAAAAAAAGATTTATTTATGTATTTGAAAGTCAGAGTTAAACAGAGCAAGAAAGAGAGAAGGAGAGAGAGGTCTTCCATCCAATGGTTCACTCCCCAGATGACCACAACGGCCAGGGTTGGGCCAGATAGAAGACGTAAGTCAGGAGTTTCTTCTGGGTCTTCCACAAGGGTGCAGGGGCCCAAGCACTTGGGCTATCCTCTGCCTTCCCAGGCATATTAGCAGGGACCTGTACTAGAAGTAGAGCAGCTGGGTCTTGAATTGGCACCTATATGGGATGCCAGCCTCGCAGGCAGTGGTTTTATGTGCTAAGCTACAACATGGGCCCCATAGGATCACTTTTCAATAATCAATTTTCATTCAGCAGCAATTGACTGAGTAGCTATTATATGCTTATTCTTGGGGTTACTAAAGATTAAACTCTTACTTTATACACTTCTGTGCTCTCTGGATTCTCATCCTAATTATCTACAAAAAAATTGTTTGAATTTTTGCTGTCATTGTTGAAAGAACCTGTTCTTTAAAAGTTAAACATCATTATTTCTCACATTCATACTTGCTTTGGTTTAGAACATTTTTTCCATTGTGGCCCCATTTTTCATTTATAATCTTTACAAGCACCAGAACCATGTTGCCTGCATTGAGGTATTTTAGTCACGTGCCAGTTTTGCAGTGCTACCAAGTCTGGATCTGAAAAGCCAGCGTGTGTGAATCACTGACATACATTTCTGTTTATATTCAACAAATTTATTTTCACCTTTATATTTTTTAACCAATTATTTGTTTAAAGCAGATTTTTTATAATACAATTTAAGAAGGAATTTGTCATGTGAGATTTAAAATTGGGTTAAAAACAGAAGCTATTAAACAATAGCAAAAAACAGATAATATGTAGGGCTCTAAATGATAATTGCTAAACAATCGAATGTTCTCAAAAACGTGAGTCTCTGTTGTTTTTGCACTAGGGACTTGCACAGATAGGTTTTGCACAATATCCTTGCTGTTCATTGTCAGCCATAAACAAATTACACGTATTTAACAAGTTAATGTTAGATTGGCCAGGAGCCACTGGGAGGTGTGTACTTAGTGACATCAGCTGGCAAAGAACCCTGGTAACAGGGAGCATTGGAAGGATAGTAGAGAGAGAGGAAACAGGAGGGAGGGCGCAAAAGACTCACTGTATCTGGGGATTCTGGCAAGGTGAAGAGCTGGTCTGTTTAGCAGGACCTTCCCATCTGGGATCCATCTGTGTTTCCCTGGAATGGGACAGGCAGCTCTAGTCAGTGAGAAATCGCAGATGTGAGAGAGCTGACACATGTCCAGCTAATGAAAGCAGGAGGAAGGCTGGTCTTGGATTGGGCTTTGAAGATCAGGAGGAGGAATAGAGGAGCTTTTTAACATCTATTTTAAATAAATTTGGTGTAATAAGAATCTGGACTCTCATAATCTGGCCATTCCAGGTAAGTGCATTTAAATTTCGAGGGTAAAGTGCACAATTCTCTGACTTTTACTTATCTCCAATTATTATAATGTGAATGGTTCTTAATTTTTTAATACTAGATGTAAGAGTTCATCTTTAACTGTTTTGATGCTTCGTTCTTGTTTGTATCTAATTTTCCAGTTTCCCCCTTTATATTTGAATGTCAGTCTTTTTGGAATGGAAACTAGTTGATGATTAGATATACGAATTCTGTAAGTCTCACAAATATTTCTGTAAGGTATTTCACATTGTATCCTGTGATGTTTTGAGGGAACCCCTGTCTCCTTCATCATGCATAATAGAAACAGGCAGTATTGAGGAGATCGTTCAGAGAACACCCCTTTCTGTTGTCAGGGTTTATTTCAATGTATTTAAACAAATTATAACTAAAATAGACTGCAGTAAAACTATCTGCATTTTAGAAATATGTAGCCCCTTTTTCCCATTACATTTTGCTCCTATGCTGTTTTCTATTTACTTCTTACATATAAATAAGTAGCATTAATAATTTTGACTTGAATTCTGAGTTTGGGGTAGTTTTGCTGTGTTATGTACTGCTAGTTGGTTTGTGATCCGTGTTTTAACTATTTGCTTTTTCTGTATGTTCATGTTTTTGAGGCCTCCAAATCTAGACACCAGGGAAGAACATGAGTTTAGGAGTTCTACTTACTGGATGGCTTTTTTTTTTTTTTTTTTTAAACCAATTCTATGACCTCAAGCACGCTACTGTTCTCTTTGATATCCATTTTTGTGTAATGCTTCACTCATGTTATTACTGTGGGAATTTGTCTAACACACAGAAGGCCTACAACTTAATTTCAAAAGTTCCTAGTTGTATATTTTTCTGCTAGAGCAGGTTCCTTTGCATTTTCAAGGCCAACTCCTGGCCTCATAATAAGTGTTTGTATCTCTAGTTTTCAGGGTACCCTTCTTCTCACTGTACCCATCTTCCTGATAATCTGTTCAGTTACAAATGTAATATACTATCTATGAAGCCCCACTACAGATTATAAATAGCTTTGAATCATTCTAAATATTGTAATGCAAATAGAACTGTATAACAAAAGAACTTTTAAAAAGCCAGCAGATTAGGAGTGAGGTACTTGATTGTGCAGCTTTGTGACAACATTGTTTATACTGTCCCCTCTCCCCCTGAAAATTCTCTGTACTCTCTAATAGGAACTTTTAAAATAATACTTTTCTTTATTTTTTAAAGTTTTTATTCATTTACTTTAAATTTTTAATTAGTTTTTAACAGATTCAAATTCTGTTTAGAGTTTTTAACCTTTTCTGCTGGGTGACTGTTTTAAGAGTACGATGAGTCCTTTCAGTTTCTTCCTTTATTATCCAGATTTCTTGAGATGTAGGGGACTTTTCAAGTTTACCTAATAAAGATTTCATGATTTAGTAAGAATCTGGCAGCTTCTGATTTGACAGGTGCATTGATTGTTTAGCGTCTTTCTGGCTTGTCTGAGTCTTATAGGACACAGTGTTTGTACTGAATTTACATTGTGCTCATTCAGTGAGCAGACTCTTCACATTGCACCCTAGGAGAACTGTTTGTAGGCATGAGTGGCAGAGAAAGACTTAAAGCTGAAGTGTAGTATATGCTGAGGTCTACTGTGGGGGGCCTAAAAGGAATTTCATACCATGCTAGCAACACTGTAGATACTAGACTGTCAAAAAACACAAGAAATGGTTTTGGTGCATTTAATGTGAAGATCCACCAACTATGCCTAAAAGTAGTTGATTGAAAGCCCTGCTAAGATCAAACAGTTCTGGAGAGTAGTTGTCTGTTATCGAGGTATCTGAGTTGAATGCTGCAGGAACAACAGAAGTACGTGGAGAAGTTTTATTACTGTGAAAGGAGAAAACTCCCAGGTTGGATTCCAGAAGGGACCCAAGGGCTTTTTCATAGAGGGGACCATGTTGGACTGAACATAGATATAATACAATAATGTAATAAAGCAGAGATGAGGGTAAAGATATTTAAATAGCATCTTTGAAACATATAAATAAGTTTGAATGAATATATTTTGTACATAATTGGAAAAATCCAAGTGGATCTGAAAGATTGGTTGGATTATTTGATGGTCATTTTAAGGCTACTCAGTGCTAGAGATGTTCCTCAGTCTCTAGTGATGACCTAGGGGCAATGTTAAGTTAGCCAGAAAAAGTTTTTTTTAGATTTATTTATTTATTTGAAAGAGTTACACAGAGAGAGGAGAGGCAGAGAGAGAGATAGGTCTTCCATCCACTGGTTCATTCCCAAATTGGTCGCAACAGCTGGAGCAGCGCTGATCTGAAGCCAGGAGCCAGGAGCTTCCTCTGGGTCTTCCCACATGGGTACAGGGGCCCAAAGACTTGGGCCATCTTCTGCTTTCCCAGGCCATAGCAGAGAGCTGGATCAGAAGAGGAACAGCTGGGACTTGAATGGGATGCTGGCACTGCAGGCGTTGGCTTTACCTGATTGTAGAGGAAAGGATAATGGAGTAAGCAATGTGCTTGGCCCAGAATTGAATGCCCTACTTGGTGGCTAAACTTGGCGTAGAATTGTGTTGAGTTTCCAGGACATTGCTTTTGCAAACTTTTTTTTTTTTATTGTCTGTTTAGTGTGATAATACAATAAACAATAAAGAAAGTAAAATCTTATAAAGCAGAGAAAATCTAAGTATCTGTGAATGCATACAAGTGGTAGGTAAGATTGGAAATTAGTACCAGCTAACTTGAGAGAATCAGAGAATCTTCATGAAGGAGTTAACATTTCACAACATTGTAGAAGGGCATGAAGGATTTGGACTCCTTGTGTTTGGAAGGAGCATTGTGGATGGATGGAAAGGTTCACTTTCCATTGACCTCAGTGCCTTGAATTAGACGTGGTCAGATAGTTATCCAGTGTTCATTTCTGCTGTGTTTTGAAGTAACCTAACTGTTGCTAGAGCAATTATTTGCTTCTGGGATATTTAGCTATATACTTAAATATCTCCTCCCTTTTAAATTTGTGATTTCCATACCAGGGAAGCTCTAATTTATAAGATTTCTACTATGATGGAGTGTGTGAGTTGTTCAATTTTCTAAGTTAAAAGTCAGTAAATAAAGGAATTAGTGGTAACTGTATCTTCCAGAAGAACAACTTATTTTAACTGGTTTTATATTTTCACTGGCTGATGGGCTTTCCAAACAGTATTTATCTTTTAAGCACTATATGGTGACACAGATTTATGCTGGGGAATTTAGAATACATACAGATTTACTTTTTCATAAAGCATGCCAAAACCTGCAAAAGCAACTCTGGGCTTTGTTTAAAGCAACAGCTAGTGGAAATTCTGTTATCCTTCAGTCTTTAGCAGCTAGTCAGAAATGTCTGGCGAGATGGGGTGCAATCCTGTATGGAATATGTATGTTTATATGAGTATTATCTATATTTGCCTGTCAGAGTGCTGAAGTAAATAATTTAGTTCTGGAGTTATTTAGGACAGGTGAAAATATTGGATGTAGGCTTTAGCTTAGGCTTTGTAACCTAGAGCTCTTTTAACGTTCACCTGTAACCCTCAGTTTTCTCTACCATAAAATGGGAATAAAAATGAGTTAAATGGATTAAATTAGGAAGTAACTGGAATCATACTTGCTTCATGAATACTCAGTAAGATTTCTCTTTCCATGTGATTTTTCTTAGTTCCCCCAAACATTTAAGACACATTAGAAGGTGTTTATTGCATATTTTTGACATGTCTCACTTCAGACTGATAGCAAACCAATTCTGCTTCCTTAACTAATCCCTAGTCATGGGAGAACAGTGTGCGTAGAGAATTCAGCAGCCTTAAAAAACTCAAACCTGTTGCTGTGTGGCAAGCTGTTCATGTTTAGGGACCTTGCATTACTCACCCTGCTGGAAGAGCTGGGGGCTGGGCCACTCTGAGGGTGACAGATGTGCCCTCTGCTGCCGGCGGGCGCGTGCCGGCTCTGTCCCTCTGCTCCCAGCACCAGGTGCAGCCATTGTTCTGGCTGGTCTCTCTTCATCCGGCCTCGTCTGTTACTCTGCTCTTTCTAGCTCATTGTTTCTGTAGGAAATTAGCATTAAAAACCCATCTGAAACCCCCATGTCCCTCAACTGCAGGTGACTGTTATTGGCCCCAGCTGCCACCCTTGCGCTTGATTACTTCCATATGGGTCTGTGCAAAGAAGTAGTAGCCATTTATTGATTTCCACCACAACCCCCACCTCTGTTACTCAAACTATAATACCCTGAAATCTATTAGACCCCCAATAGGCTGTATTGCTCGGTTGGCATTACAACTGTGATGAACGTTTTACAAGCAAAACTAATTACACCCTCTTTCCACCTCCTATCTAAATATTAAATGTAGAAAAACCAGAGTGGAATACTAAATCTTCTAAATGTCTGAAGATGAATCTCTTTCTGAGTAGTAAAGCTTTTAGTCTGTGGATGGCTTTTATGGCAAATGCTAGTGTCATTGCTTTAAATTTTTCATACCAAACCTATAATATTTGAGCAAATGATGACCCAGTAGGCCCTTTGGGTGGGGAATAGGGGGTCAGAAAAACTTTCATCACTTGTGTTTTTGGTTATTTGAATTTAATTTGAAAGGGTAATATATTAGGAAAGGGGCCTAGTTTACAATGGCAGTGTTTTCTGGGAAAAAATGCAACCAGTATTAATTAAACTCTAGGTTTTTTTTTTTATTGTTCTGCACAAATAGTGCTACTTATTAGGATAAATACCACAGCAAGAAAGTTTTGCTTATTTTTTTTTTTTTTCAGTAAACAAAAAGTAAGTGTTCGATTTTGGTTGTTGTTCTAAATCAAGATTGTAAACAGATAATTTTAGTACTCAGCTTAAGACCCTGAAGAATTATAAGGATGGGGGTCATATGGGTGTGATTCCAGTCCCAGCTGCTCCACTTCCAATCCAGCTTGCTGCTGATGTGCCTGGGTAAGCAGTGGAAGATGGCCAAAGTG